AAACAGGATACAAAGACAAATTAAAAACTACACAACAATCAGCAATTCGAGTGGGGCTGGGAACCTGGCCCTGGCTGTTCCGGCAGGCCTGGGGCTGCTGATCTTGATTGACCTTCAGCCCCATTAAGATCGAGTGTATGTTGTGTCCTTTTTTAACTCGTTCTGTCTTATATTTTAAATCTTTTAATATTTTCTTTTTTAAACTGTTTTTTTAATGTAAACCTCCCAGAGTCCTCCGGGATTGGGCGGCATACAAATCTATTAAAATTGAAATTGAATTAACTTATAGTAGCCCCAGTCTAGGAAGGGGAACCAGGTATAGCCTTTAGCTAATGGTAGCCCCAGTCTAGGAAGGGGAATCAGGTGTAGCCTTTAACTTGCAGTATCCCCAGTCCGGGGGCGGGGACTAGGTGTAGCCTTGGTGTTAAAAAAAAAGAATTCCAAGAGCTGTGGTAGTACAGTGGTTATAATGCAGCATTGCAGGCTACTTCTGCTGACTGCCAGCAGTTCAATCCTGACAGGCTGAAGGTTGACTCAGCCATCCATTCTTCCGAGGTGGGTAAAATGAGGACCCAGATTGTTGGGGTCAAGAGGCTGATTCTGTGAACTGCTTAGAGAGGGCTGTAAAAGCACTGTGAAGGGGTGTATATAAGTCTAAGTGCTATTGCAACTCGCGGTGTCCCCAGTTCAGAAAAGAGAACCAGGTTTACCGTTTAACTGGTGGTGTGCCTCATCAGGAGGGAGAACTAGGTTTGGCCTTTTCACTTGTGTTTAGAAAGGAGAAGCAGGTTTAGCCTTTTTGTGGTCTCCCCAGTTCAGAAGGGACAACCAGTTTTAGCTAACCCGAACCAGGAAATTTAAAAACTGGCTGGAACCACGTAAAAAAAAAGAGTGGGGAGGACATAATTCACTTCAATTTAATTTTTCTCTATTCAGCTGATGAATCCCAGATACTTTAAAAAAATGTGTTGGTCACCTCAAAGCTTTCAGCTGAGCCCCTGGAATGGAGGAGGGGAGACAGCCCATGCAATGTTGCTCCCTACTTTTTAATCACAGGTGCATTTCCAGAAGGTGTGCAAATCCCCTCCTACTTTCTGCCCAGAGGTGGTATTCAGCCAGTTCTGACTGGTTCTGGAGAACCAGTAGCAGAAATTTTGAGTGGTTCGGAGAATTGGTAAATATCACCTCTGGCTGGCCATGCCCCCATCTATTCACTGCCTCCCAAGTCCCAGCTGATCGGGAGGGAATGGGGATTTTGCAGTATCCTTCCCCTGTCGCACCCACCAAGCCACGCCCACAGAACCAGTAGTAAAACAATGTTGAATCCCACCACTGCTTCCACCCAAATATTTCCTGGGACAGCTGTCTAAATTATGCCCCAAACTCATGACCCCAAGAAAACAGTGTGTCACTCGGGGCTGAGTGGCTGGGATGATCAAAGCCTTGGGCCTCTCTGCTCCAGGCCACAATCCTCAGCGGGTGACTCATCCCAGAATGATAGCAGAGGCTTGGGGCAAAGTGAGATCATCCATTCCAGTTGCCTCTTCCCCCCACCTCCCTCTGACCCAGCAGCCCGTCCTTATGTAAAACAGGAGAGGAACACAAAGTTTGCCCTCCCTCCAAAGGAAATAATTCGACTTTCGACTTTCAAAGCAAGAAGAATTAGCACATGGGACCAAGAGGGCTCCTGAGCAGGTGCAGAGGGCACTGCAAAAAAAAGAGCCAGGAATTTTAATGGCTAAAAGTCCCTGCCATGACCCTCATTCCACATCTGGATACAGGGGAGCCCATCTCCTCCCCCTGCTGCAAAGGGAGATGGTGATGATGAAGAAGAAGTTGGAGGGAATTGTAAGTTCTTAGGAAGCTGTCAAGAGAAACTTTGTCGGGGCGTTTCTCTTGACAGCTTCCTAAGAACTTCTTCTTCATCATCATCTTCTTCATCACCATCGAGCAGGTCTCTCCTCTCACCAGGTTTCCCAGCCAGGAATGCCAGGACTACAACTCCCATCACCCCCAGCCACCCCAGATGGGGTTCGGCGGCGGGCCAGCGTTGCCCACTCCCACCCTTCTGGGCTCCCCCCTTCCCACTCACCCACTCACTCCGCGCCCGCCAGACCGAACCCACCCGGAGCGATGCGCGCGGGGCTCCCACGCCGCCCTAGGGCGGGGCGGGGGGGGGGTGTGTGGCGAGGCGATGGTTTGGGGAGGGGGCGTGAGCGAGGCACCACCAGCCTCCGAGGTCTCCCCTCCCCTTGGGCACCTCCGAGTCCCGCGCAGCTACCTCCCTGCGGACCTCCGCGGCCCGGGGCGCCCCAGCCCGGGGCGAAGGAGAGCGCCCCTCTGGCAGGCTCCGGGGCGGGGAAGGGGCGCGGCCCGCACTCACCTGGCCGTCTCCGGGGGGGACGAGCCGAACCCGTCCGGCTCCATGGAGCCCCCAGCCCACCGCCGCCGCCTGATGTCACAATCCGGCCACGCGTGACGCAGCGCGGGCGGCCGACAAAGCCGGAGCGCTCTGCACGCGCTCAGAGGGCTCATCGGCCGCCTGGGGGGGGGAGGGCGGGGGTCACCTGGTGGTGCACCGTCCACCCTAGATCTGGGAGTCCCTGTCCTGTCCATAGCCCCTCCCTCCTCTTTCCATTTTAGTCCGCAGCGCCGGTAGAAGTGGTTGTGGGGAGGGGGTCTTCCGCGGTTCCTGGGCGCTGCGGGGATGGGTGAGGGGCGCGGCTGCTGGAAAAACAGGTCGGGGGTAGTCTGAAACCCAGCCGGCTGACTGGCTGGACCCACGGTGGGAGGGCTGCAAATGCCCGCTCTGGACCCCGATTGGGGAAGGAAGGGTCTCTATTATGAGGCTGGGGTCGTCCGGAGAAGCCACCCCCCAGAACGACGCCCAGAATTAAGAGTTCCGAAAGTTTCCAAAATGAAAAAAAAGCCAGCTTCTTTTCCTTGGGCTTCTGTTTAAAATCAAACCCGCCCTGTTTGAAAATGTAGACGTTCTGATGATACTACCTAGTAAGGTCATGAAACGTCTGAAAAAAGACAATTGAACTGAGAGCGCCGGCAGGGAGCCCACAGACGTTCCTTTCCTGGATGGAGCTATGGCTCTGGAGCTGTTCTTGTGATTTTATGCTTGCTTGTTATGTGTTGTGTGTGTTCGTTGTGTGTGTGTATTGTCTGAGACCCTGTTTTTACTCCTTGAGTTTTTAGTGAGTAGCCCTTGGGTCATATTAAAAGGGCAAAGTTCCAGAAACAAATAATTACTAAAACTTGATAAAAAGCAATCTAAAATGAAATTTGATAAAATACAATTTATTCTGTATATGTGCACTGGGCTTGGCTATCAGTGTGTGAGAGACGGCAGAAGTCTCAAAACATGGAATATTTGCAATGAAACCATGTTTCCCGTTAGCCCTACCAAGACATCAACAATCTTGAGTCTGCACCCCTCTCCAAAAAAATAATTTGCTGCAAGTTGCAGGAACTGGGTCTGGCTAGTCTAGGGAAAAGAAGGACCAGGGGAGACAGGAGAGCATCTTCCGATACAGAGAGGAGGAAGGGGGTCAAGCTATTCTCCAAAGCACCGGAAGGCCAGACAAGGAATAAGGGAGGGAAACATTTATGTGAAAATATCTACAGACCCCTCGCGTCCTGGACATCAATTGTTTCAACTCCTACCCCAAAATGACGTTATGGGGCACTGCACACCGAGACAACTAGACACAAGGACAGTTTTTTTCCCAAACGCCATCACTCTGCTAAACAAATAATGCCCTCACCACCACTGTCAAACTA